AAATCTGTGAGCGTGAGGGGGGAAAGAAACAAACACTACCTCTCTCTATTTGTTAGAAACACACTCACAATGGGGGGTGAAGGAAGGATGGGTACTGAGAGGTCAAAAAGTAGAACTTACATATGTGCTCTCAAAGTCTTCAAAGAGTTTTTCCTGCCTAAACCACGGACTCAAACCCAGACCAGCCAGCCAACAAGTCAGCCAGCCAGCCAACAAGTCAGCCAACAAGTCAGCCAGCCAGCCAGCCAGCCTCAGTATGACTGATTGGAGGAGTCTAACACACATGTACATAAGGATTTGTTCGTATTTTCTCCATTTACTTTGAGATCTGGACGGCTCTCTCTACATGTGTGGATGTTCCAGAGATCTGGAGACGTTACTCACATCTTTATTGTCATTGTTATTATCATTATTGTCATCATTATCTTCACAGAATCATTCAGGAACAGATAAAGAGCTGTGCGAAGAATCAATCAACTATTTGACACTTAAAAATCTATAACCCTTAAATGCCACTTCTTTTTTCTTTTTATAGATTTTTACATTCTAAAAATTAAAATAAATGAATATTATAAAAAGTCGAAACCCCTTTGATGTCATGGAAAAAAACAAACTTTCTACAATTAGAAACAATTTGATGATATAAGTTTATAACCCTGCAATTCACCGGGGACAAAAATTGTTTTTGCACCAAAAAAAACCCAAATTGTGATTCTACAAATACGTCTACAACACTTACTTGAACACAATTTTTTTTTTTTAAACGAGAAGTTTAAAATTTCCCGCAGGAAAAAACAAACAAACCGAAACACGGGTGGGGGATTGTGTTACGATCCGGAACTGAACCGAGGAGGAAAAAAACAAAACGTGAGACGGCTACTAGTGTGTGCTTGGTCGGTGAGGATCCAGGTACGAAGGGGGAAGTCGCCACTCTGTCATGCCCAGGCCTAGGCTACTTACTACCTGCAGGGGGGACAACTTGGTCCAGCAGCTTGGTGCTGGTTCGTTTCCAGATCCTTTTGATTACCGCTCGCAGTTCCTCGTTGGCCGTGTCTATGTTGCCCTCCGTTTTGATTTTGAGAGACGTGCGCACCAGGGCGAACAGCGTGGCGTTGAACATGACCGTTCCGTCGCTGTTGAGGGGCATGTTCATGCTGACCAGTCTCTGTGGATGGACAGTTTGTTTTTAGTAAGCGTTTTACGGCACTTGCAACACAAATAGGTCATATATGTGCCGAAGATTAGAGGTGTTACAAGAGAGTAGCAAACACAAAAAAGAAGGAGAGATATAAAGACAATTGTTGTTTGATAGGAAAGAAGGAGCAAATTACACCAGAGCTTGGATGAACAGAGGGGAGGAGAGAATGTATAAAACTGACAACAGTCTTTGTGGATGGACAGAGGGGAGGAGGAGAGAATGTCAGAGTACATGGACACACCAGTTACATACTGTCATACACTCCTCAAACATCCAACC